TTGACGCCATAATGAAGATGCCTGAACCAAGAAACCTTCATGAGCTTAAAAGCTTACAAGGGAAGTTGGCTTACATCCGAAGGTTCATATCAAACCTAGCAGGAAGATGTCAACCTTTTAGTCGGTTGATGAAAAAGGGCATCCCGTTCATATGGGATGAGGCATGCAAGAACGCATTTGAGAATATCAAGTCATACTTGATGAAGCCGCCTGTGTTAACTGCTCCTGTTCATGGCCGCCCGCTGATCCTTTATATCTCCGCCCAAGACAGTTCTGTGGGAGCCTTGCTTGCTCAGGAAAATGACAAAGGGAAGGAGAATGCTCTCTACTATCTCAGCAGAATGATGACCTCGAACGAGTTAAAGTACTCCCCAATTGAAAAGCTATGTTTGGCACTCGTGTTCTCAATCAAAAAACTTAAGCACTACTTCGAGGCTCATACCATCCGGCTTGTCTCCAAAGCGAACCCGGTGAAATATGTTATGGCGAAGGTCGTTCTCTCCGACCGCCTCGCAAGGTGGTACTTATTGTTTCAACAGTTCGAAATTGTATATGTGCCGCAAAAGTCTGTCAAGGGGCAAGCCTTGGCCGATTTCCTAGCAGACCACCCAATACCTGCTGAATGGGAGTTGTCTGACGATTTGCCTGATGAAGATGTGCTTATCATTGAAGTCCTACCCCCATGGAAGATGTACTTTGATGGAGCTTCGCATAGAGAAGGGGCAGGTGCTGGAGTTGTCTTCGTCACTCCAGAAGGCGAGGTGTTGCCATATTCATTCACCTTGACCGAGCAATGTTCAAACAACGTTGCTGAGTATCAAGCATTGATACTTGGGCTCGAGATAGCGGCTGACATGAAGCAACTGAGAATTAACATTTATGGAGATTCGAAGTTGATCATAAACCAAGTGTTGGGTCTATATGAAGTGAAAAAGGCGGAGTTAGTCCCATATAACAACTATGCAAAGATACTCATGCAATGGTTAGGGGACGTCACAATTGAACATGTACCGAGGAAAGAAAACAAGCAAGCTGACGCCTTAGCCGCATTGCCTTCAACTATTGCTCATCCTGCAGCCCGAATACAAGTATGTCAAAGGTGGGTGGTTCCACCAATCTTTAATGAAGACGGCTCAGTTGATGAAACTGTTGAACTCCCTACTGCCTCAGTGTATGATATAGGCAAAGACGACTGGAGGCAACCGTTAATTGACTACCTCACTGATGGAAAGTTACCTGAAGATCCCCGTAAAAGGGTGGATATAAGGCGTCGAACTCCTCGCTTCATCTACTATAAAGAGACATTGTATCGTCGTTCCTTTGATGGAATCTTTCTCCGATGTCTAGGGGAAGAGGAAGCTTTACAAGCTATGCAAGAAGCTCATTCTGGGGTTTGCGGTGCACATCAATCCGGTCCCAAGTTGCATTTCCACATTAAGCGAATGGGATATTATTGGCCTACAATGGTAAAGGATTGCATAGACTATGCTCGAAGGTGCCAAGCTTGTCAATATCATGCAAACTTTATTCATCAGCCACCAGAACCTCTACACCCAACAGTTGCATCTTGGCCATTTGATGCTTGGGGACTTGATGTGGTTGGCCCAATTACGCCTAAGTCATCTGCAGGGCATGCCTACATACTAGCTGCCACTAATTACTTTTCAAAATGGGCTGAAGCCGTGGCATTGAAGGAGGTGAAGAAAGAGAATGTTGCAGACTTTCTCCGTGTTCACATCGTCTATCGATTTGGTATCCCACTATATATCTTAACAGATAACGGGAAGCCCTTTGACAACAAGTTGATGGACAAGATCTGCAAGCTTTTCGACTTTAAGCAGCGAAACTCATCAGCTTACTATGCAGCTGCAAATGGGCTTGCTGAAGCTTTTAACAAAACCCTATGCAATTTGTTGAAGCAAGTGGTCTCAAAATCGAAAAGGGACTGGCATGATAGAATGGAAGAAGCTTTGTGGGCGTATAGAACCACATACCGCACACCTACTCAAAGCACTCCATACTCTTTGGTGTATGGTGTAGAAGCGGTCTTGCCTCTAGAGCGCCAAATACCTTCCTTGAGGTTGGCCATACAGGAGGGTCTCACCGATGAAGAAAATGCTAAACTACGCTTGGCCGAGCTTGAAGCCTTGGATGAGAAACGGCTGCAAGCGCAACAAAGCCTGGAGTGCTATCAAGCTCGCATGTCTAAGCTTTTAACAAAAGGGTAAGGACCCGTTCCTTTCAAATTGGGGACAAGGTCCTAGCTGTTCGCAGGCCCATCATCGTCACGAGAAAAACTGGTCACAAGTTCACTTCAAGGTGGGATGGTCCCTACGTGATTCTAGAAGTTTACACCAGTGGGGCTTACAAGTTGATTAGTGAAGATGGTTTGAAGATCGGTCCAATCAATGGAAGGTTCCTAAAGCTTTACCACCCTTAAACTTGGGGTGTCAACACAAGTCGTGGAAATATGATGAACGACTCATCCACCAAAAATGCAGCACGTGGTTAAACTGCTAATGCATCTCGCTTTGTCTATGGGTGGGCCCAAATCATAGACGCTCCTGGCCCGCATGAGTTTAAACTGTGAACGGCTCTACTTTGTAAAAAAAAAAAAAATCATTTGAACTGCGTTTGACTTGATCTCCTTGATAGGAGTACGTAGGCAGCTTAGAATCAAATTATCTAAGTTCAGTCATAACAAAATCAAATCCAATTCATGTTGCAAGAGTGGGTTATCTAGACAATCCTTCAACGGGTGAAAGAAAAGTTGTATGAATTATCGCTAAAGGACCGGCACATAAATGAGAAGCATTCAATTATCAAAAGTTAGAAACGAAACAACAAAAGTTCTTGCAATCAAAAGAGAAGCTAAATGACAAAGAGTATCAGTCAATAAAAAAGCCTAAAGCTAAGCATATTGTCTTTGCACGCTTCTAAGCCTCTCTTTGCCTCCTTTAAGCTCGTTTCATCTTCTGGCGTCAGTACAGTCAGGTCCTTAATGCGGGTGACCTCTGCCCTAGCCTCCGAAACGGCAGTCTTAGCATTGCCCAGGTCATCTGTAATTTTGGCAATCGCAGTGTCGCATTCCTCTGCCTTAGCACGAACTAACTTCAGTTCTTTCTCCAATTCCTCTTCCCGATCTTTTGTGGCCTTAAGCATCTTATGTTGGCCCAATAGATCTTTCTTGAGTTTCCTAAACTCGTCTTGTGCATTCTTAAGCGCATCCTTCGCCAGGGATAAAGACTGAGACTCGCTCGATGTTTTGTCAGAAATTGTGGACCTTAAGTTATCAAAGGCTTGAGCTTTCGTGAAAATCTCTGCAACCCGTGTTTCCAAGGGAGAGATATCAATGTCTAACTTCCGCAGATTTGCAAAAGCGTTCAAAAAGCTCTCTTGCAAAGATGAAACGTGTTCTACCGAGGTGTCGTCCAACTTTTTGCGAAGCTTGTTCCAGACATTTATGACAACCACCTTAAATTCTTCCAGTACGAGGTCTTTTCCATCAAAGACAGAGACCTCAGGTCTATCTTGCTGACCTACGCGTGGCTCGTCGAGGGAATTCCCCGACTGGTGCGTGTTTGATGCTGAGGCACTGTTTGAATGTCCACTTTCTCCAGTATTGCTGGCTGCCACCCTTTTATTTGATGACTCAGCCCCTCCACTAGCAGGTATCGCCACATTTTCCTGTCAAGAAGTAAAAGAGGGTAAATTAAGTGCTACCAGCAATCATTGGGATAAGCGAGAACAGTGATTTACCTCCACTGGGGAAGGCGAACGTCTGTCTCGTCGCCGTTTCCAGTGACGGTCATGGCTTTCCTCATCACCCGAGTCCGACCGTACCACATCGGCCCTGTTTTTCGAGATGATATGCTCCTTTCTCTTCTTGGGTGGTGGTTCATCTCCCTGGACTGGGTGTTTGCCCTTCTTGGCGGTGCCAGCCTCCTGCTGCACGTTGGCTGGATCCTCAGGAGCTAAACCCTTGATATTGCGCTCGAGGTAGTCCCCATGGACTTGGGCCCACCAATCTTTATAGCCCGGCGAGAAATACTTCTTCATGGTGACAATAACTCGAGTCGCGGGAAATGTCACTCGCGACCCTGAACCCCTAAGTGTAGAGTGGCGCCAACGTTGGAAACCCTCCGAAAGCGTGACCTCACGCTCATCATTGCCCAGTATGCCAGAGCTGCCGTCTTGGTAGTAGCTGAACTGTCGGCTGAATCGATGAGGAGTGTAAGGCTCTGCGATACATGCATCCGCCCATCGCAATATGAGGTGGTTAGAACGAAGACACATGAGGTACTCGTGGTCGGTAGAGTGTGCGTCCCCATTATCGAGGAAGTGGAGATCCTTAGTTAGGCGGCGCGTCGTGCAGAGCCAATTGGCGCTGTCGGCTTTGAACATCTTACGACGAGCCTCTACTGGTCCATAGTACCTCGCGCCACCCTCTCCAGAGTAGGCAATCATCAGTGGGGAAGCGGACGGTTGATCATTTGCGAAATGAGTGTCGAAGTAGAACGACAGCCATCCGTACACATAGTGAATGGGAAAGTGACTATCAACTGACCCCGGCGTACTAGAGTGCGATATTACATTCAATCCATTGTAAATGCTCGCAAGTACGGGGATCCCAAGGTTCAGTGTTTTGCCCGTCGCCATTAGACTAGCCATTTTGAATGTTTGGGCTCGAATGAGTCGCGTTGCTTTGATGGGGAGCACGAATACGCACAGCCAACAACTTAGGTATGCCGCCAAATGGGTCTCCTCCTCGTATTCGGAGGGAATTCCAAGCTCAGCAAAAGGCGCTTTGGTCGTTTTGGTCCAACCCCCGAATGCTGGGATCTTGCCACTTGGATTATGGGTGTTCCTCGGGCGAGTCTTCTTCTTATCCTCCTTCCTAGGCGGTGGCCTGTCATAAACTTGCGGTCTTCTGCTCCAGAATTCTATCCACTCAACAACGTGAACTGAACGACTTTTCTCCTGTTGCCCACGGCGACCACCTCGTTGCCTAATTCGGTTACCAAGGTGACAGTATGCTTGGAACAAATACTTACAACATTGAGGTGCGGAGTTGATGTCTTCCCCTGTTAATTGCGAGGCAGTTGGAACATACTCATCGTAGATGTCGCCAGATATCGGTAGACCGCAAAGTACATGCATATCCCAAAGTGAGATTGAAAGCTCACCGAGGGATGTAAGCAAGGTATTTGTCATGGGGCACCACGCTTCGCAGAATGCTTGGACAATAGGCGTCGAGCGGTCATATGTGAATAAGGAGGCATATACGCCGTCGTAGATCGTCACATCCTCTAGAAGTTTGCGATGCCGACTGAGTATAGCCTCAGTCCACTCCCAATACCCCTTTGTGAAGCTAAATTCACCTTTAAAGCTGGGGTGCTGATTCCATGAAGCCTCACCTTCAAGTATCCATCTCCCAAAAGTCGGGAGTGTGTCTGTGTAGTCTACATGACTTAAGCCGGTCTTCAGAACCCATGTTTTCGATGGCTGGGTGTCAGTGTCATGGGTCCAATTTTCCACTTTATATGGCGGTATCTGGGAAAGACGAGTTCTCGACGCCATTGGTGGGTAAACGATGAACGACATGCTATCTTTTCCAGTCTCGTCGCTTGATACTTTGAGCCTCCTCTTCTGATCGGCTCCCACGGTTTCCCAAAACACTACCATTTTTCAAAGATGGTTTGCGATGTATGAATCTGCATGAAAATCAAGAAGCCAAGTCCATAAGTAATAACAATTTGTAAAGCAAGGAAAAGTTCTAAGTCTAAAATCGCCATGAAACTGTTCAAGGAAATTTTTCACGTGATGATATGTGCACGAGACAACCCATATAATATATAGTATACGTATACACTTACCACGTACATATATTACATATTACATGCGTGTGTACATATATTATATGGTAAGGCAATTATACACCCACAACTTATATAATGGAAGCATGGGTTATATATTATATACCCTCATATACACATAGCTACGCTATATACATGCCTACAAATAAAATTAAATCACATATATATATATATATGCCTAACACAGTAAACATAAAAATATATATATATTATGATGCATGGTCCTATACACTATATTACAAATCAAATTAAATCACATATATATATATATATATATATATATATATATATATATATATATATATATATATATATATATATGCCCAGCACAGTAAACATAAAAATATATATATATTATGATGCATGGTCCTAGACGCGCTATATACATGCCTACACTATATTACAAATCAAATTAAATCACACACACACATACACACACACACACACATATATATATATATATATATATATATATATATATATATATATATATATGCCCAGCACAGTAAACATAAAAAAATATATATATTATGATGCATGGTCCTAGACGCGCTATATACATGCCTATACTATATTACAAATCAAATTAAATCTCACACACACACACACACACACACACATATATATATATATATATATATATATATATATATATATGCCCAGCACAGTAAACATAAATATATATATATATATATATATATATATATATATATATATATTATGATGCATGGTCCTAGACACCCTAGCTGGTATGCACTCAGAGGCACAGTAAACATAGATACGGTGGTATTCACACGCAAAGCAGACCTGGGAAAGCTGGAAAGGGAGATTGCACATGGCTCTATGTAGTCTTTCTTTAAATGCGAACTAAGCAAAAAGCGCAGAGGACAAATTAAAAGAAAACTCCTTTCACTATCTTGGTACCTCTGTAGCGGCCTCTTCTACCCTGTTGATGAATGCAGCGGAGCCTCACCAAGCAATCCGTCCTTCGGTGACGACTCTATGGCGCACGGCGAACTCCTGGAGCACAAGAGAGGGTTTCTTCAAGCCAAAAATGAGAGAAGAAAAGGAAACAAAACACAATTACGCCTGTAGCAGAGGCGTGCCCGGAGAGCTTCCCCTGCGACGGTATCGCTATACCGTGGTGCGACAGCCTCGAGTCAGCACTCTACGGCGGCGAGCTCATCGGCGGCGGTTCGTAGGACGGCGGCAACACGCCGGAGCGCGTGCCGGGAGAGCTTCCCCTGCGGCGGCAACACGCCGGAGCATGTGCCCAGCGGCTACCCAGCAGCTTTCTTCTCCAAGGACGGTGGTAAAACAGCGACGACATGCCTGGGCATGTGTCCGACGACGTTCCAGCAACTCTCTGTCCCCAGAGATGGTGACCGGCGCAGAAAAGTTAATCTCCAAGCAGGTCCGATGTTTTGCAGTTATAAGTGCGAGAAGACCCAAACAATGGTGGAAAACAACCCAGGAAATTAATTCCTAGGAAGCTCCGATCCAGTGTTGGTGACGACGGTGAGTTCAAGCAATGGTGAAATACACCTTAGAAAGTCAATTTCCAGGTGTTTTCTATCCAATGCCTCACATTCCTCGTTTTTCTTCTTCTCCTGTCGAAAGAGAAATCAAGAAGATAGTATGTATTGTAAAAATTAAATTACCTGAAGAACAAGATGCAGCGGGTGAGGGTCAATTGCTGGCAGTAGCTGTAGTCCGTGGTGTGAAAAAATTGTAAGCTGTTAGGAGCTATTTATAGATGCAAGCTGCTGATGAAATTCGTATGAGCTTGAATGTGCCCAGTAGTCGGAATTTGTTGATTAATCCATATCAAATATGGGTTATGTGATATGGTTTGTTACACGTATGAGGGCTCCATTTCAAGAAATTCTGGTTGTTGTTTAGAATTCAATTTAGTTTGAAAAAAAAAAATCAACTTATTTGAGCTAAAAAAAATAGAAGAATATAATGGAGTATTATGGACTTTGAATAATATTTGGATATTCGACCATTACTAAATTGGAAGTCTCTGCAATCAAGTATGATTTATTGGACTACAGTTACAAATATGGACTCTTGGACTGCTACGGTTAATTTCGAGACTACCTTCCCTCTGCATTTAAGGCACGTCAAGCAAGTCTCGAAGGGGCAATTTGTAAGCATTGAAAATTTTAAATAATATTGTTGGACCGTGATGGATAATTGGTCATTAAATTAATTACTTTAATTAGGCTAATTGGACTAATATTTATTTAATTGGGTTAATTAAATGGCCCATTAAATAATTAATTAGTTTAATTACTTAATTAAATGTAATTGAATGTTGGATTGTTCAGCCCAAAATGGTGGAATGCTTAATTGATTTGGACTAGGCTGCTTGGATGAACTGGGTTGTCTAATTAACGGGTTTGACTTGGTTCTGGCCCATCAGAATTATATGTGGATTATATAATTTTGGAGAAATATGAATAATTTGATATTATTTGAAGATTTGATGAGATCATGAACCTGGACGCGATGGTGTCCCGATACATTCCTTAATTTAATTAAAATAATTAAATTAAATTAGGAATTAAGAGTTGGTTGGAGATTTTCCCTCACTCTCACCACTATAAATAGTGGTTTCATTTCCAAAGAATAGAGCTCTGGAAATCTGCATATCGAAGCTCTGCCGAAATCTCGCCGGGACATTGTCTGGAACACGCCCGCAGTTATATATACTGCGTATATTGCGCTAAGGAACATGCCACTTGAACACCGGAAGCCCATCTTTGAAGATCAAGCTGCATATTAGCCCTTCACTGAGGAGCAAGCTACTAACTCCGGAGGCCCTTTAGCAAGGAACTACTCCAATTCGGCACACTCCCGAATTCGGCATACTTCCAGTTCGGCATACTCCCGAACTCGGCATACTTCCAGTTCAGCATACTCTGAACTCAGCACACTTCCAACAAGGAACTCGGCATACTTCAAGTTCAGCATACCCTGAGCTCGGCACACTTCCAATTCGACATATTTCGAATTCGGCACAGTTCTAATAGGCATACTTCTAGTAGAGAATCAGAGGACTTCTCATATACAGAGATTGTACCCCTTCTTGATTGATACATACTACTTGTAACCGATACTTTGAATTTTGAATATATACAATTCAAGTTTTTCGCGTTTACACCCTCAACTTGAGCCAAGCTCCACACCCGAGCCAACCTCTCAACCAGAGTCAAACTCCATACCCGAATTCAGCTCACAACCTGAATAACACACTAGCACTCTTGCTCCAAATAACCAGGATCCGAATGTTGAGATGGGTCGGGGTATGAGAAATAAAGTTCCTTCAGTGTGGTTGCGCGACTATGTTATTAATTCTACTGTTGCTAAAAGTCCATCCTCCGTCACACCGTCTCCACAGTCACCCTCAGGTACTCCCTATCCTTTAGCACATTATATAAATTGTGAAAATTTTTCTCTGCCATACAGAACTTTTCTCGCAGCAATTCTTTCTGAAAAAAGAACCAAAATCTTTTAAGGAGGCGATGACACATACTGGCTGGAAAGAATCTATGACAAATGAAATTCGGGCCCTCGAAGACAATCAAACTTGGACTCTTGAACATCTCCCACCTGGGAAAAAGGCTCTTGGGAGTCATTGGGTGTATTGAATCAAATATAACGCAAATGGGTCGATTGAAAGACTCAAATCAAGATTAGTGGCTCTTGGTAATCATCAGGAAGAAAGCATCGATTACACTGAAACTTTTGCTCCTGTTGCTAAAATGACTACTGTTCGTGCACTTCTTGCCATTGCAGCATCTAAAAATTGGGAACTACATCAGATGGATGTGTACAATGCTTTTCTGCATGGTAATCTCGATGAAGAGGTGTATATGAAGCTTCCTCCGGGCTTTGACGCATACGATCCTAAATTAGTGTGTCGATTGCGCAAGTCCTTGTATGGATTAAAGTAGGCACTGCACCGAGGTGCTGGTTTGCAAAACTTGTTACGGCCTTGAAAGGGTATGGTTTCTTACAATCCTATTCTGACTACTCCTTATTCACCTTTACTCGGGGTGGAATTCAGATAAATGTATTTGTTTATGTCGATAATCTCATCATTTCTGGGAATGATTCTGCTGCTTTAAAGACATTTAAGGCTTATCTCAGCGATTGTTTTCATATGAAAGATCTCGGCACTCTAAAGTACTTTCTTGGTATTGAGGTTGCTCGTAGCGCTTCTGGACTATTTTTGTGTCAAAGGAAATATACTCTTGATATTATTTCTGAAGCAGGATTGTTGGGAGCCAAACCGGTTAGTGTTCCTATTGAGCAAAACCACAAACTCGGCCTAGCTAGTGGCCCAATTTTCTCTAATCCTGTAGCTTATCGGCGTCTAGTTGGAAGACTTATCTACTCGGCCGTAACTCGACCGGATCTCGCATACTCTGTTCATGTGTTGTCTCAATTCATGCAAGAACCACATGATGAGCACTGGGAGGCAGCTTTGAGAGTTGTCCGTTATTTGAAAGGTACACCAGGTCAAGGGATTCTCCTACGAGCAGACACTGATCTAACGCTACAGGGATGGTGTGATTCGGATTGGGCCACATGTCCTATTACTCGGCGATCGCTTACGGGTTGGTTGGTTTTTCTTGGCCATTCTCCAATCTCGTGGAAAACAAAGAAACAAACTACTGTTTCTCGTTCTTCTGCAGAAACATAATACAGATCCATGGTAGCCATTACTTGTGAACTCAAATGGTTAAAGGGCTTGTTGTTAAGTCTGGGGGTTCATCATCCCAAAACCATAAAGTTATTTTGTGACAGTCAGTCAGCCCTTTATATTGCAAAGAATCCAGTCTTTCATGAACGCACAAAACACATTGAAGTGGATTGTCATTTTGTTCGCGATGCAATTAAAGATGGTTTGATCTTCCCTTCCTACATTCCTACCAATTCGCAATTAGCGGATATCTTCACAAAGGCTCTTGGGCAAAGGCAATTTGAATTTTCTCTTCGCAAGTTGGGCATTTTAGATCCGCATGCTCCAACTTGAGGGGGGGTGTTGAGATATTTGATGATATTAATCATCTATATTAATAGTCATGTGTTTCTTGAGTTTTCCATATGTCTCTTGGGTTTCCCATGTGTCTCTTGAGTTTTCCATGTGTCTCTTTGTTTTCTCATTTGTATTTATTTTTCATCATCTTGTTAGCACTATATATACAAGTGCTTGTATTGAAGTTGACACAAGGCACAATATATTAGTTTTTCCTCTTCTTCTTGTTTATTTGTATTCTACAGTTTGTCATGTCATGAAATACGACAAGTGAGGGAGTAGAATTTGGGAGTACATGTAGAAGAAGTCTTATTTAACAAGTTATAGCTGATTTGGGGTTGATTAAACATCTATGTGTATGTTGATTCAAATGATGTGGCGGTGACTTTGCACGAATTTTAAGATGAATTAGTTTTTTTTAAAACTAAATAAAATAAAAATAAAAATAAAAATAAAAAGTTGAACGCCGGACGGAGATAAGGATATAAGTATGATTTTTCATTTTTTATTTTTGAAACAAGGATATCAGTATATCAGTATGATCGCTGAGTCATCGAGATCGAAATTGCATAGATATTTCTTCTGCAAATCTGACGCGTCACGTGCTAAAATTCACACTTTACATAACATAAATTCTGATACCTAAATTCTTGGGTTTTATCAGCAACTTGTTGTCCAAGTCTCTCTGCCTCAGTCAAACCATCCAGAAAGTCATCCACAAACTCTTCCTGTGAACCTATATATACATAGAATCATAAACTTTGGGAATATACATATACATACACTGATACACACTCAGAAAGAAATTAAACCCAACATCATTTGTACGTGTTCTTGCAAACAATTGAAGATAATAAACCTCGTCGGTTGAAAAACAAAGTAAAATGTTCCGAGAAGACGATTACGGTCAAACTTTGGGAATAGAAGAGGAGCGCGACGGAGCTTATATAATCCGGTGGAAGTCCGGGAAGAGGGTGGATCCGAGGTTGCTAACGTTGTTGGAATCATTCAAAGACGTTTTCGACTCGCGCGAGGAGTTTTTCAAGAAAATATTCCCGGGGATTTACGAGGAGTTCAAACATGTTTTTGGGAAATTCGCTGAGATTAAATGGCAGAAGAAGAGGGAAATGAAAGCTCGAGCCTTGGAAAGAAGCTCCAGCCTTAGGCTTGAAAGGTTCAGAGTCAAGACTCCAAATGTTACGGTGGTGACTCGGCCACAAGATGGAGGTGGTGGTCAAGTTAATAAGTAATCCAAAAATTATATATAGTAGGTGTTGAAATTTATATATTGTTGTAAATAAATAAGATGAATATCTTTCATTCATTTGTAGATCGGGGAGGATTTGTATATTCGGTATATATTATATTGAATGATGATAATAAAAAATAATTATTATATTAGTATAATATTTTTATTGTACTCTTTATTCACATTATTTGTTGCATATGTTAGACTAAATAATTACTAGTTACTTTTTATTGAAAGCAAATTACTAGTAACTTAGTCCTATTAACATTCTAGAATATAGAATTTGTATAGTATAATCTAGGTTGCTAGGCTTAAAATGTTCCGTCAAACGTAATCAATTCAAACTCATTTATCTCCAACAATTTGAAGACATGGACAGAAAGTCATGGATAGATAATGTTAGAGGCAAAAATAACTTGTGTGGTTGAGATTTTTACTTCATATTCATGCACGTATAGTAGAAAGTGGATCTTACAAGCCTATTTCGAAGGGATTTATGACAACACGATAAAAAGGGGTTGTGTATGATGTATAAAATGGAAGTTTCAGTGGGAATTATAGTGGCATATATAAAAGAAACTTCGAAGGGGCTAAACAGATTTCTATCTGGAGTAGTTGCATTGATCAAGTACAACCATTATTGATATGTGATGGAGTTATTACAAATTGACCCGGTGCGGATCAACTCGAAGGGAATCAAGTTCGAAGTACCGGAAGGGACCCGGAACCGAACCAGGACATGACCGAGCCCAACCTCTGCCAAGCCCGGTTAGTCTGAGCGTGGCCAAGGCAAAGTACCCGGCCATGTGGCCGAGCTCAGCGCTCGGCCACGAGGTCGGCCACTTCGGCCGAGCTCCATGCTTGACCAGGAGGTCTATCACCTCGACTGAGGTCGGCCACTTTGGCCGAGCTCGACACACCTCGGTCGAGGTTGGCCACATCAGCCGAGCTCCGTGCTCGGCTGGGAGGTCTGCCACCTCGGTTGAGCTCCGTACTCGGCCGGGTGTCGGGTCTTCGCGTGGATGCGGTTTTGGCGGCGTTTGTTGCGGTCCAAGGAGGTTGTAACTCCCCACCATCTATATATTCCGGGACGGTGGGGCCAATTTATGGTATAAAAGCACTCCATTGTGTCTTGTTGAGACATAACTGATCCATTATCCATAGTTTTATCTTGTTATTGCATAAATCCACCTTTGTAATAGCATTACAATTGGTTAATACAATTCTTGTCTATGTGACTTGGGCCACTTGGCAACATTTGCCCCTTTATTACATTACTTGTCCAATCCAATACTTGTCATATTCCTTAGTATATTCGGGTTAATTGATTCGGACCCTGGGTAAATATAATCCATCATTGGTGCTTTCATGAGAGGTCGACATACAAGCTCGAGCGTGCTATTTTCACTAGCTATGACAAGATCGGCATCTAACTCCGGTAATTCCCACAATTTCGCACAACACCCGTTACCCATCCCATGCAAATGACCTCAACGGGACCGCGAGTTAGCAAACACTACTCGTGCGGTCGGCGAAGGACCTCAGGGATCGGATCAACAACAACTGTCATGGCGGGTCGGCTCCACTTGCCCCACCTCAGTTCCCTAACCTCTAAGAAGGGGCGGTCGCGATCGAACAAGTTGCAACACTATTGACCCGCCTCGTAGAGGGGCTCTAAGGAGGTACCCCACCCCCTCCGCTCGGCCTCAAGGCTTCTCAAGGGACCCCACTCCCCTCGAGGTGTGGTGTGACGCCAAGTTTCCAACCTCAATTCCATGAATGAGTAGAGGCCCAAGCTAGCTCTATTCTAGTTCATTGTTGACCTCAACTTGAAAAAAAAAACCCTTTTTGTTAAGCAG